ATTTGAATGGGTGTGTGTCCTATGTTGTGATATGAAATTTACTCCTTACCGTGGGTCACAGTCCAAAAGATTTGAAAGACTCGGCTCTGCACAGCTCTCCTCTAGAGGGGGAGGTTGTTAGACACGGGCTTTTGGGAACATGGCTGACACCAGAATTCTTCACAACCAAAGCAGGAGACAAATAGACTAATATGTATTCCAAAACACAGAATTTCATTAAGAAACTATGACCATAAAACTATTGATGAAGGAATTGGGTATTTGTTTGAATCAAAGAATCCTTTAGGAACCATCCCAAGTCACCATCATTTAAGACCATAATAGTTACTTGATAATGTTTTACACTAAAGCTCATTAACTGCTATTTATTCAGAATTTACTATAGGTTAGGCCCTGTCCTAAATGCTTCCCACGTGAGATTTCTTTAACCCTTATAACAACTTTATGAGGTTGGTATTATTACCCAGTCTAAGATGAAGACACTGAGACACAGAAGAGATGACTGATTCAAGTCCAGCTTCTTCATCGGCAGATCTAATTTAGCGGGAGGGATAGCAACACCCTGCCTTCCCTCAGAGTCTGCCCCTCAGTGATGAACAAGTTTATTGTTTTCTGATGGACGGATTTTCTCAGAATCTAATAGAAACTGCTCGTGCTGCAGTAGAAGCTCTTTCTTTCCCCCTTTGTCTCCTGTGTGGAGCAGAGAACAGCTGGTCAGCATCCTACTGTCAGTGCTGCATAGTCACGTTGTGGATAGTAACTGTGCTCCTTCAGAACCAACAACCTCAGCAACTTGAACCATTTTCCCTTGGCCCTATTTCCCACAATCCTTTAATTGCTTCTTTGCGTCACATTCCTTTGAGAATGACTCCACAGCTTAACTCCTTACCAGCCCCAGATGTGGGACAGGATGAGGTTGAGGCACTTCCGGTTTATGGTCCTCTGAGTTTCCCTAAAATAGGCACCACTGAGCTGACTTCCAATCTGCATACAGCCTCAAGGGCCCTTTACAGCCCCTCCCAGACACACTCACAACCAGGTCTTAGCTTCCTGTGCTTCTACTCACAACTGTAGGGAACACAGGGACCTCCAGTGACCTTTGCCTTATGAGGTGTTAACATTTGTCATGGACTTCTTACCCCCTTCGGTGGGTCTGCAGGCCGACACCCTAACCACTGAGCACATCAGTTAGGGCAAGACTGTTTTAAGTACTTAGTTAACTTCTCCGTATCAGACACACTTCTTAGGAGACCAGCGTCATGGTTTTTATCACTTCTGATTCTGCTCCATGGTCATAACCTACAATTAGCTCTTGAAACACAAAAGGAACTGTGTAGATACATCACCGCAACCACTGGAAAGCTCTAAAAATACACTTTCCTGTTGAGAAGTAGATTTATCTCCATTGAAGACAGATTACCATTGAGCCAGCAGCTAAATTTCCCAAACAGATGGGGACCTTTCCGAATATAAAATGGGCCATGTCCCCAAATGTGGTACTTTGTTTTACCTATTAATAATCTTTTTGGTAACCTCTGAGTTTGAAATCCAGGTTGGTCATAATATAGCACTTGGGCCCAGCACAGACCTTCATCTTTCTATTATATTTTTTGTAGAGATCCTGCTGTGAATGTCTCACATCCAATTAACCCGTGTCCTGGCCCATGGCATTAAATGGGTCATCCTATCTTAAGACTGTTTTGACAAGAGTTGAATGCTGTTTGGACAATCCACTCCAGCTGGGGTGGATTCCGGCTGGGGCCGGAACAATTGAACACAAGCCTTCTGCAGAACAAAAGTTCTAAAGAGCTTCGCTTACGTGTTCTGGTGCACAACAGGCTTTTGAAATGGAGTATATCATAAGCCCTCTAAGCATCTCCTACTTTATCCACCAAGGTTGAGAGTCACTGATTCAGCTCTCTGCAGTGCTGAAGAAAAAAACTCCACCTTCCTATCAGGAAGACTTCCTAAATTGTCTGAATTGACAGACTGCACCAGTAATTTGTGGGGATCGGTGGAAAATGGAAATATGAAGACCTTTGTTAAAAAATTAAGAGTTTCAGAAGAATGAGCGCAGAATGTGAAAACCAACACGAGGCCTTCTAAGTGAAGGACCCTTTGTGACTGAGCAGGTTACATGCTTATGGATTACTGGAAAGTACACAAGATCAGCAGCGCGTAGCTCATTCCTCCATCAGACCACTGAGATGGCAGATGTGGATGGAATCCTGGCTGTCATCTGGTTGAACGTCCTCAGCTTGCAGGTGGGGAAACCAAGGCTTAGAGAGATTAAATGAGTTGGTTAAGTTCCAAAATAGCTAGGGAGAGGCAAAGCCACAGACATAATGTGGAGAAGAAATACATGGAGAAGAAAGGTATGGTTTACTTGTGACACCCAGAAATTTATGATTTCCCATATTATGAAACTATGGCATGTTATACTTTTTTTAATAGCTAGTTTTGTACTTTTGAGAATTCTATTATATTTCTTATCAACATTTTCCCGCTAGAGAGACTTAATGGGATGTGTGTCCTTTTTCTTTCCCCTTGGTTTCCTTCTCCACCAAATCATATCCAGAATCCAAGCCTCGTGGGCCCCAAGTCAATGATCTTTAAAACACTTTCTAAACTGTAACCTTTCTAAACTGTATGATGCTGAAATCTAAGTCTCATCAGCACATGTGTAAGGGAAACAAAAGCTCTGTTAATTGATACTTGACTTTCTTCTTGCAATGCAGATATTTGCTATGCTATTTTTTAATATATGATTTCATTGACAACAAATAAATGATGGTCATGACCCACTAAATTGATTTTATGAACCACTAATGGGTCATATCAACAATTCAAAAAAACCCCACAAAACCCAAAAGACAAAACAACACTGCCTGAATGTCTATGTTGCTTCTCTATTAGAAGGAGTAGGTGAGGACTGGAGGCATTTCACAGGAAGACCCTCAGAGAGCGGTGATTAAACATTTCTCAGCACACCACCTCCCCTACCTAGTCTATTCCTATTTCTTTGTGGCTCCTCCACACTCTTAGTTGAAGATCACTGGCCTTCTCTTTACTTCATGGGATTCTCCAAGCTATTTCCTGCCTCAGAGCCTTTGCTGCTGCCTTTTCCTTGCCCTGAAACACTCCATTTCTTCCTCCTCATGACCTCTCATTCCCAACACGCCTGAGGTCCTTCATATCTAGTCCAATTGGGCAAATATGATAGTCATTGTGAAATGCCAGGTGATCAGTTCCAGAGTTTGTGCCTCAACCATCCCTCCCACTGCTGCTGGAGAGAGTAAAGTAACAACACAGGCTTTCATCATCTAAGAAGAATTGGGCTGGGGGTCAGGCATGAGTCCCCCAGGCAGCCTAGAGCTGCAGAAAGCATGGAGAGAGTCATCAGAAAGATGCTTCAAATGGGTGAGGGAGAGTTCTCCTCTTCCTTGTGATAAAGGGAGTGGGAGGGGGTGTGCCTCAGTGTATCAGAGCCCACAGGAATAGGGAGTGTGAACTGTAGGACCTATGCATGCTACATAATCAGAGAAGTAAAATATAGCATTACTACCAGTTATGGGTGTAGCCTTCCACTAACTTACTTTTCAGTGGAGGACATTGTGCAAATACACACAAACACACTTACACACGCACACGTACACATGCATGAATGTGCACACATGTTACTTTGGAAAATGTTATTTTCTCATCTCATTGATTCAGTTAGCAAATAATTATGCAATATTCTTTCTGTGAGAGGCACTATGTGAGGCCCAGGGATGGATGCAAAGGGAAGTCTGTGACCGTGTTTGCTCCAGATTTTCTGTTTTGTAATAGAGATGAGATAAGTAGGTACCTGTAATCTACAAGGTTGGGGGAATTAAGGGACAGTGAGAGAAATGAAGGATGAGGGGGCTTGGTGGGGAGAATAGTGCAGATGAGACATGGGGTTGGCTTCCGGGAGAACTTAGCCCGGAAGCTGTGTGGCTATGAAGGGAAGGAAATTCAGGTCAAAGGATGAGCTTGGCATCAGCGGGCAAGAGGTTTGGGCCTCTGAAGATGTGAGAAAATGCTAGAAAGATAAAGACTAGATTGTCAAGGTGTGGAGGGGGTCCTAAAGGTCAGGCCATACATGGCATTTTGCTTTTATTTTGTAGGCAGTGGGAACCCTTTGGGGGGTTTTGATTGGCAGAACACCTAACATGGTACCGGGTACATGGTGCACAGACAATCCATATATGTTCAGCAAAAGGAATCATAATGGCTAAACTTTATTGGGTGCTTGCTATATGCCAGGCAGTTTTCTAGACATTTGCACATGTTTGTGGTAGCTAGGCATGCAATTCTCCCAGAGCCCAGGAGATAGTTACTCCACCTCCATCTTCCAGACGAGAAAACTGGGACTTAGAGAAGCTAAGTGTGACAAACGAGTAGGCATCTAGCTTTTATGCTGCTATGCAATTTGAAAAATAAATAAATAAATAAATAAATAAATAAAAGAAAGGGAAGAAGAGAAAAGAGTTATGCTCCAATGTTTTCTTTATGAGAGGAAGCTGTGATGGGCCCAGATTAGCAGAGGAAAAGAGTGGGATGGAAGTAAGAAGCATTCCAAAGATAGCGTCCACAGGCATCTGTTGTTATTTGACATAAGACGCCCGAGAGAGGGAATGGTCGAGAAGGCTCAGTGTGTCTAACTTCAGTCCCTGGGAGGTGGTGAAGCTATTAAATTGGAGAGAGGGAAGGTGACAGCTCGCTTTTAGGTGAGGTACACGGAAATCTGAGTACTCAGAACCCCAAAAAGCAGCCGCAGGAGATGTGTTTTGAAAGACTGGCTTTGGGCTCCTGGGCAGTGTCACCTCCCCTGCTCTGGGGCTCTGGAGTTGGGCCTGGGAATCTCGAGGCTCTCCCTCCCTGTGTTTATATCATTTAGCAGGGAAAGGATTGTTAATGACTAATCTGTGTCCGGAGGCACGGAGCCAAGGAAGAGCTGCTGCTGGCCTGGGAGGCCCATGGTCACCCACAGCTTTTGCTAGAACTCCCTCCTCCTCTTCACTCCACTGTCTCCTGGACTCACACCAACGCAAACTCGGCTCCTGAGCATTGGTAGAAAAATTGCTGCGATTTGGAGAGGAAGACTGGACTCGGGATCCTCCCAGGGCCTTGAAAGTTCAGCTCCAACCTGAGACAATAGAGTGAGTACCTAATTCCATCTCAACGCAACCGAGGGGAGGTTGTCATGAAAAGTTTCTCTTTCACGTCAGGAGATTTGGTCAACAAAGAAATGCTAGGTTAGAATTTGATAGAAAATCCTGAAAATTACAAAGAAACATCAACTCTGAAAAGCAACCAAAAAGAAGCAAGAGTTAACCTGACCTAACTGAAACATAAGCTGTTGACCTTTTTTGAACAGTTATTTAGAAATATCTTCTAACATGTGGTCACCCAGCAGAATCCCTGGGGACAGTACATTTTTGGAAACGTCTCTGTTCTGATTCCATAGATAATGTGACTTGTATCGTGTGCTGCGTTTTGGTCATTTATCAAATCTTGGTGTGAATATCGCTAATGACTTAGAAAGCAGGCACAGGATAGTGTTGAAGGTACGCTCAATTGAAATACAAGTTTGTCCTAGAAGAGAGGGTTTAAAAGGGCTTTCTCTTTTGACCTTCCTTGTCCACATTTCTATTGCTTTTCATTTCTCCTATGAGTAGCAGATGGAAATATTTTAATTAGATGGAAAAGACGCCTGAGAGAGGGAACTTTATTTGTGTTAAAATTGTCCGGGTCTGAATCTACAGATAGGGCCTCTCCTTGTCTGCTGACTGCCATAGGGAATTGGCAATGGTGAGGTGAGCCTGGATCATTTCTCCCAGTGGAGTTTTTATTTAGCCGTGAGGGGGCTGGGGGCATGTACACAACTCACTCTGGGTTCGTTCTCTGAGAAACACACCTAGCTTTCAAGAAATCTGATTTTGCTCTAGGGCCACTTCAGGACTACCTTCAAGAGGGATAGAGGAAGATGTTGGGGAATGATTGCTGGGTTTCTAGCTGTCATAGACACCTTCATCTTCGAGTCGCCCCCCACCCTCCAAATTATGGACCTGTGCCATTGCACCGTGGACTTTTCTGTTTTGCTGAGAATGTTGCAATATGGCTGATGCAACTCCAAGTCAGCTGAGAGAGAGCGGGCTGGGGATGACCCTTTATTGTCCCGAGACCCTTCCTCAGGACTTGCCTCGGCATTTTTCACCAAACACCTCTTTACTTGGAGAGGGAAAGTAATGTTATCCTAGTTCTTCCTCCTATTTCCACATCTCCCAAGTCTGGCCAGTTGTGATGGCACAGCCACTAGCTGTGAGGCCTGGAGATCGTGGGAAGGAAAAGAAATGTGTGCACATGAGTGTGTGGTGCAGATCACCCTGATGCAATGTCTACTGACATGTCACAAGCCTTACCGAAATTGCCTGTTTCCTTCTCCCAATAGCACCACATGGAAGGTTTTCTTTTTTTTTCACTTTTTTTTTTAAATTAAATTATTATCTGTGTACATATTTTAACATTGCCCCCCCCCCCCCCCCCCATGGTTTCCTTACGCTCATTTTACAGATGAGGAAACAGAGGCCCCAAGAGGACAAATAACCTGTCCCTGGTCACACAGTTAGGACAAGCAGGATCTGAAGATGAGGGAAGGTCTTTCTGGCTCCAGTCTTTTCGTTGCTGCTCTAATATGGTTGGGGGCTGGGAAAACTTGGAATCTGGGATGATGGTAGAGCAAGTGGACCTTCCTGCAAACAGTTCAGTGTGAGAGGAGTAAGTAATTAAGCCCCAGTACAACTTTGAATATTAGCAGGGCATTTTCTAATGATTGTACCATGAGCAGGGGAAATGAAAAATTTTCAGCACTACTTGCTTTAACCCAGAGGTTGATCCAGGAGAGGTGATTGGAGACTTCAGTTATCAGCATTTTAATGAAAGACTGCAAGAACTTGCCATGGTATTGTGATTAGGGACGACTGAGATGAGCTCAGAATTGCTGTGGGTCACAGAGCCTGTGGGTTATGAATGCTATGAGAATATAAAAAGCTCATGTTATCATTACATGGGGAGATAAAGGAAAAAAATTAAGATGATGTTTATATCTATATACACTAAAGGCCCAGTGCATAAAATTCATGCACTGGGGGAAGGGTATCCCTCAGCCCAGCCTGCACCCTCTTCAGTCTGGGACCCCTCAGGGATTGGGCCTAAACTGGCAGTTGGACATCCCTCTCACAATCCAGGACTGCTGGCTCCTAACCACTCGCCTGCCTGCCTGCCTGATTGCCCCTAATTGCTTCTGCCTGCCAACCTGATCACCTCCTAACCGCTCTCCTGCTGACCTGATTGACATCTAACTGCTCCCCTGCTGGCCCGATCGCCCCCAACTGCCCTCCCCTGCTGGCCCAATGGCCCCAACTGCCCTCCCCTGCTGGCCATCTTTTGGTGATGTCAGGGTGGCCATCTTGTGATGACACAAGGGTGCGAGAGCCACCTAGTAAATATATATATATTGATTTCAGGAAGGAAGGGAGAGGGAGAAATAGAAACATCAATAATGAGAGAATTATTGATTGACCTCCTGCTGCTCCACACTGGGGATTGAGCCCATAATCCAGGAGTATGCCCTGACTGGGAATCCAACTATGACTTCCTGGTTCATAGGTCAGTGCTCACCCATTGAGCTGCATTGGCTAGGCAAATATGTTCTTTTCTTGGTAGAAAGTGTTTTCCCTTCATTTTGCCCAGTCTCATTTTCCTCTTAAATCCCAGCAGCATAGATCATGAAGGAACAAAAAGAAATAGAAACAATTTTTTTTCTTCTCAGGTATTTTTTATTGCCCTTATATTTTGTGTCAGTGGAGACGTATGAGAGTACGGCAACACTGTATGAGAGTCCTTAGTCACCAAGCTTCATGGAAAGACAAAGTCACCTTATATAAAAATATCCATTCTCCTCCTTCTCTCCCCCCTCCCTCTTATCTTTGTATCTCCTAACCTCTTTGCTCTCCACAGTGAGGTATTTCCTCCTCCATTTGCCCCTTCCCAATTTTGGCAACAAAGGAATGTCTGTTATTCTTTCTCCCCTCTTTGTAAATTTGTGTCAGTACAACGCTAATGTAATGCAATCTGATCATGAAGGAAAATATTTCCCAGGAAATAAACTATTGCCCAAGAAAAAACACATCCCTAGGACAAGAAAGCCTGGTCAGCACAGTCTTAGGTCTAAGAATTAGAATAGACTTCTGGTGACTAAAAATAATATGTGGGAATAAAAAAATAAATTTTTATTAATCTTTTTAAAGATAAAAATTCTAATTTGAGATTTGGGTTCCCATTTTTTAAAAATTTAATTTTATTGTTTAAAGTACTACAAATAGTATATATATATTTCCTTTTCCCCGCCATTGACCTTCCCTAAGCCCCCTTACCCCTTGTCACATGCCTTCATCTCCCCCCCCCCAATGTCTTGTGTCCATTGTTGTGCTTATATGCATGCATACAAGTCCTTTGGTTGATCTCTTTCCCCTGGGTTCCCATTTTTAAATAGACTTAGAAGGCCTTTTCCTGGTCCCGGTGATCCTGAGATAAGTTAGGTATTTATACCTTAATTAATGTCACTAATTCAAAGCAAAGGGGAAATAGCAGAGCTTTGCAGTTTCAGGTCCTGGAGGACTGTGTAACAGGGTTCTCTGGAAGACACTGGTCCATGGAGAAAACGGTCTTGCTGAGGGATATTGCAGAGCAGAGAAAAGCCCTCTGATCTGGGGCTCAGATCTTCCCTGACCAAGAAGGGAACTGTCTGTTTCCACGCCCTAGAGAGCTACGAAAGTTCTTAGTGTGGATGCCAAGTCTGCACCACCCTGTCACTTAAGGAGCAAGCACTGGTTGTGGCCCAGTGTTAAGAGGGAAGGACAGAGTAACGTCATGCCAAAAAGGGGTGGCGTGGAGATCCTTATTCTCATGCAGCCCAGATTCTGAATCTGAGGCCATGACTCGGTTTCAAGGCACCAGGAACCCTTTGATACTGTATTAAAAAATACATGCATTTTACAGAGGATTTTTGAGGGCAGTGAAACTATTCTTTGTGATACTATAATGGAAAACCCATAGAATATACATCACCAAGATTGAATGAACCTTGATTAAAGTATAAACTTTGGGTTTATATGATGTGTCAGCGCAGATTCACCAGGTGTAACAAATGCACAAATCCAATGGGTGTGGATGGTGAAAGAGGTTGTGCATTTTTGGGGACAAGGGTTATAAAAAACAACCTTCTCTCCCAGAGAATTTAAATGTGCCTGCTTCTGACATCCAATGGTATAAATGGCCAAATGGAGAATAGGGAATGATATTCTCAATGAATTATTTTCATAAAAAACACACAATCTTATAACTTAGTCTAAAATCTCTTTACTGTGGAAACCGGTTTGGCTCAGTGGATAGAGCATCTGCCTGCGGACTGAAAGGTCCCAGGTTTAATTCCGATCAAGAGCATGCACCTTGGTTGTGGGCACGTCCCCAGTAGGGGTGTGCAAAAGGCAGCTAATCAATGTTTCTTATCCATGTTTCTTATTCTCTATCCCTCTCTCTTCCTCTCTGTAAAAACTCAATAAAATATATTAAAAAAATAAATAAATAAAATCTCTTTACTTTCCCCAAAACTACTCTCCTCTTTCAATGTTAACACATATAAAATCATCTAAATTTTTTCAACTGCAGCCTAATATTTGGTACTATTGATTGAGCCACTAGCCACTGCACTTTTGATGGTCATTTAGGTGTTTCCCCCTTTTCACCAACAGAGACAATGCTGCAGTGAACATCCTTGTGCACATGTGCAAAGGTTCCCCAAGGAAGATACCTAAGAATTAGAATTGCTTTTCATTTTAATATACAGTGCTAAAAACCCTGCAAAAGATTAAAAACGATGCCCCTATTGGCAATATATGAGAATGTGTATTTCTATACGTTCACTCCAACTTTTAAAATTATCACAATTTGATCATCTGATAGGTGGAAATGGCAGGCAGTTACACAGATTTGCATTTTTCTAATTATTAATCATTTCCAGACGTTTGCATGGTTATTGGCCACTTGTATCTCCCTTTTGGTAGATTTCCTCTTTACAGTCTTTGCCAATTTCTGCCCTGGATTATTTATCCTTTATGTTTTTATTTATATGAGTTATTTATGTATTGTTTGTACTAATTTTTGCTGTTATTTATGTTGTGAACATTTCCTTCCA